GGTGGGGGGAACAGTGGGGGCGGAGGAGGTGTCAGAAGGCAGCATGCTTTGTGGCTGCCACGCTTCTTCTGATCCAGGCCGGGAAGGGCTGTTTAGAGAAAACTGCCGCTCATTAGCATGGTGTGAGTGCTAGGGCCTCTGGCATGCCCGCTGTGCCCAAGGAGACCCGCGCTGCCACCCTAGACGTCCGAATCTGATTCCTAACCCTTTAGATAGCAGTGCACCTTGTAATAGCCCGCTGAAATGTGAAAGGGTTAAAGAATAATTAAAACCTGAAACTGGACAAAGGAAGTCTATAACTTAGGCCTAGTTTCTGGAACCCCTAACCACATTCTGTTAATCATGAAACTTGTAACAATGAGCTCATACGCTAACTGCCAATTTTAGCCTGTGTAACCCTGCTTGCTTGCGTGGCATGAAAAATAATCAATTGTATATAAGCTGAAAATTACTGTTTGGCCATCGCCCATGGGAACACTGGCTATTGTCCATGGGAACATAGGCAATCACCCATAGGAACATAACATTCTAACAACAAGCTTTCTGCTTCTGTACTTCCCGCTTGCACACCTGACCAGTGGGTTGACAGGTAGTGAATAGGAGAAAGATGGACCTTTGTGTTTAAGACAGAATGAGGAATGGGATTTGGGGCTTAAAAACCTTGTATCTTGGCAATTCGGGGCTGCTCCTTTGCAAGGACAGCCGCCGGCTAATAAACTGTCTCCTGGTTAAGAGCACTCAAGTTGGGTCTGGTTATTCTGGACACAACACACCTCCTGTTTGCTACTTGATGTAGCCCTCCCCTGGCCTTCGATGACCAAGATAAGTTGGATAAGATATACATGAGCGGACGGTACGGACACCGTGACCCTTAGAAGGTCCGTTTCTCCTTCTTTGGAGATTGACTCGTCACTTTGGAGATGGGGCAAGGAATGCAAAGTTCGGACAGACTCATAATGTGCCCTCAGCAGTGGGGGAGAAGGAAGTTGTTGTTAATAACTTTGATGTTGTGCTCAGAAGAAATGGTTCAGAGAGGGAGGCAGCCAGGGCTGGAGGTAGCGGTGATTCCAAGAGGCCATGAGCCATGATGTAAAACGCATAGTAGACTCCGGACCCTACATACACATTCGGTGTCCCCCACGCTCACTGGAGAGTTACAGTTAAATGTCTCAATACATGAGTGTGAGGAGACAGAGAGAGGGCCCTGGACCTTTAGAGCTTCACTGTCACGTGGAGTGGCTTGGTGCACACGTTACTGGAGAGAAGGAAACTGGGCCACTGTGCCGTAGGAGAGAAAGAGAAGGAAGAGTCAAGGACTCTTTTGATGTTGCAGGGGCCCCAGGGCAATGGTGGTAGAGTATGAGATGGAAAAATCAGAGGAGGCACAGGTTTGTGGGGAAAGCTGCCAAATGTGGCGTTAAACGTTCGTTCATCTGAGCACATGCTTTGCCAGGCACCGGGCTAGGCCTTGCAGGAAGAAGAAAGATGCCTAAACTGTGCCCCTGACCTGTAGATGGTAAAGTGGCTGCCAAAGCCTTTCTGCTCATATCCCACCCAGCCCTCCCATGCCCAGGCCTGTCTGGAGACTCTGATTCTACATCGAAAACTGTCAGGTGCTGCCTCCACCAGGAAGCCTTCCTTGACTTCCTACCCCTATGTTGGCCTTTATCCTTGTATATCTCTGACGATCTCATGTTTTATGGGAGCCAGTTTTTATCCCCAGGGTCTAGCACAGTAACTGGCATACACTAGATATTCCACAAAAATGTTTGAAAAATTAATTTTAAAAAAACTTATTTAAGACAGTGAGAAGATGGGCATTATTACACAGCAGGCACCATTTAAATGCTTTACACATATAAATTTAATCCTCACAGCAAGTCTGAGAGTTAAGTACTTTTATTATAATTATCATCCCCATTTCATAGATTGATTCCCTGAGGCAAAGAGGTGAAATGACTTGCCCAAGGTGTACAACTAGTACATGATAGAAACAGGATTTGAACCCAGCAGTCTGGTTCCAGAGTCCTTCCTCTAGATCTCTCCTCTGTGACTGCTTGTGGGTGGAAATAAAGGTCAGGAGCTAAGAGGAAGGCAAGGGTCTCCTATAACGACGACCTGAGATGTCCAGCATCAATGCTCTCCAACCGGAGACCACCAGGACCGTACCTCTAATTGAACACAGTGGCCTCTACTGACTCACCGCAACAGGGAGGGCACACACCAGGGGGGACCGTGGGCATCTGGGTGACAGGGTGTGAGAAGAGGTTTAGTCTAGGATTCGGACTTATGCCAGGCGGTGTTGGGGGAGACTGAGGAAGCAAAGTCTGCCTTCGCTCTTGATTGGATGCTGTCGAGAAGCAAGGGCTGGTCTAGGACTGAGTATCTTAATTCTTGTCTGGACGAAGAGAAGACCAGAAAGAGACTGAAGCTTGACTGGTAAAGAAGCAGAAGTCACTCACATTACCACAGACAGAGGGATAGCTGGTCCTTTTTGTGGTCGGCTGATAGTCTCATTCTGTCTATGTCTGACATGGCGACAGAGTGGCCTTCCTTGTTTTATCTTGACCCGTCACAGTCACAGAGTGGCCTTTGATGTTGCTCTATGGAATCGTTTATGTTCAACAGGAGAACACCATGGCTCAGCTGTGAATGGCAGGCCCGCTCCGGCTGTCATGGGCTGCTTTTCTCCTTCTCGGTGGTAAACTAATATAGCTATATTGCTACAAAACTTGACATTGATACCAATGGTATTCCTCCTCCAGTTTCTTCCCCAGAGTGTGGAGTGAGCTAGGCACGGGCGAGCTCTGTTGCTCCACCCTGCCTCGGGCATGTGGAGATGGCTGGCAGACATGCACCAGCACTTCAGAACCCTGTCAAGGTCACCCAGCTGCAGTTTCTCCCTTGCCTCTCTTTGGCCTCAGCAGACAGCTAAGGCCTGAGGATGCGGGTTTCTGCAAAGCCTCTCCCAGCCAGGAACACCTGGGGGGGTTGCAGGTTCACTTGCACTCTTGACCATTTATTTTTCCAGACCATATATGGCCTCCAGTGCCCCCCTTCACCCCACGCCCTGTGTGTCCTTCCACTGATGAAAGACTCTGCATCATTTAAAGCAATCACTTCTCTTATTTCTTCCTGGAAACTGGAGACTCCCCATCCCTTTCCCCTTTAACCTTTTTCATTTTCAGCAGGCATTTCTGCCCACCCCCCCCAACTGCCTGGAGATGTTTGTTTTTAGCACAGTCTAGTTTATTTACAGCTCATTCCAGCTCCGAAAATTTCCATCAGGTGGACGTGTTTGGGAACAACTTCCCCCGCACCCCCACCCCTCCTTCCCAGTCACCTAAGCCAGGGCTTCACATGTCTATTTTGGTGTCACCCGAGTGGCCTGTGGGTTTCTCTCTGGACTACGCTGCCTCCGTGGAATCGTGTCTGAGCTCAGGGTCCAGCCTGGAAAAGCCCCAGCAGGCTCTGTTGTGATGGAAAAATTATGTGTGTGTGTACATGGGGCGCAGAAACCTGGCTGCGTCACGTGGCTCAGCTCCAGGCAGCTGCCTTGGAAATGCCATCTATCATGGAATTTTGGGACTGCTCGCCCTGACTTAAAGACACTAAAGTCACTCTGCATGTGGCCACTGCAATGTCAAATCATGGGCAGAAACAACGCTGAGTCTAATCAGGCTTTTGGCAAAATTTGGGTTGTTTGTTTGTTTGTTTGTTGCTGTTGTTGATGCTGGCTTTGCCCTTTGGGCTCAGTACCCACCTGACTCTGGGGCATATCCTTGGAAAGTGATTCACTCCACTCATTCTTGGAAATATAGAGACTTAAAATGTGAGTCTGAATGCAAGTGACCATGTGACTCCCTTTTCA